AGTCGTTGGCTCAATTATTGGGCTAACTGCGCGTCGACCGGACGCGCAGGTCGTGTGCATCGGACGCTTCCGGTGGGTGACCGGACGCGTCCGGTCGCCTACATCCGATCGCCGCCTGACCGCCATGTGTCCCATTCAAACGAAGTAGTCATTGCTACCACGAGTACCACACTCAACTGTGACTGGGCGCATCCGGTGTGGACGACCGGACACAGGAAACTCAGCGTTCGGTCGAGTCTAGAGAGCTCCCAGAGCCACTCTGGGCCGACCGAACGCGTTCGGTCACACCGGACCGGACGTGGGAGACGCAGCGTTTGGTCATGGCCAGAGAGCTCCCAGAGCCGCTCTGGGCCGACCGGACACGTCCGGTCACACCGGACCAGACGCTCCCAGAGTCTGATCAATTATAGCGCTGAAACCCGAGAGTTGCTGGTTCACACCGAACACGTTTAGTCGCTTCTCTGCAAACCTGAACCGAGCAAACTCACATTGATCGGATGCTGAATAGTAACTCCTCAGCGTCCGGTCGCTCCACTGAGCCAGAGTCTAGTCATTAATACCGGACGCGTCCGGTCACTCTATGACCAGTGTAACTCCATTTCATCTCTATCTTCTTTACCCTTGCTCAAATGTGCCAACCACCAAGTGTATCACCTTGTGCACATGTGTTAGCATATTTTCACAAATATTTTCAAGGGTGTTAGCATTCCACTATATCCTAAATGCATATGCAATGAGTTAGAGCATCTAGTGGCACTTTGATAACCGCATTTCGATACGAGTTTCACCCCTCTTAATAATACGGCCATCTATCCTAAATATGATCACACACACTAAGTGTCTTGATCACCAAAATGAAATTGCTCCTACCACTTATACCTTTGCCTTGAGCCTTTTGTTTTTCTCTTTCTTCTTTTCAAGTCCAAGCACTTGATCATCACCATGGCATCACCATCATCATGTCATGATCTTCATTTGCATCACCACTTGGAATATTCTACCTATCTTATGATCACTTTGATAAACTAGGTTATCACTTAGGGTTTCATCAATTCACCAAAATCAAACTAGAGCTTTCAGACCTCACAATGGATCATCCAATGGGGCAGCTTGACTATGCGACAAGCTGACAAAGTCTCTATGGTGCACCGTATGATCCTATGAGACTGTGTGACTCACTAGCGTATCATACGATGGGGAATATTTTGGCATATTCTCAACTAGCCACTATAGGAATCATCTATCATGGCGTCACCGTATGATCCAACGTGGCCAATGGTTGCCAACAAACCATCCGGTGATGTTTGCGTTTGTCAACTTGTTTCTCAATAGCTAGCAAACCCTTCACCCTCTGTATAAGTGCTACCACTGACTCGTTTGGAGTTCCTCTTCCACCCTATTTGTGCTAGCACTTATAGAGAGACTAGTTAAGCATTTGGAGAGCCACCCAAGCTAAGAAATGAAATTTGGGTGTTAGCTTTGAGTGCCATTGTGTTCTAGGGTGGGTTTTCTTGAGTTGAAGCTTGAAGATATATATGTTATTATCGGTGATTGTCATCACCTAGATGGCCTGGTGGAGGACTTGATGACCTTCCTTGATGGAGCTATTGTGCAGAGGCTCCAAAAGGTGTACTCCCTCCGTCCCAAAGTATTAATACTTGAACCTTATAGAATTCAAATTTTGTCCCAAAATACTTACATTCTTAATTCTCAATACTCCTTTCTCTTGTCCTAATATATCTATCTTTATATCTCTTTTCATTCCTTAATTTTTGTCTAAACCTAAAACATCAAATATTTTGGGATGGAGGGAGTACATGGTCTTGAACCCAACATGTCGAAGCGGCAAACATGTATTCACTCATGGATGTGAGCTTAACCAGGTCTTCATGACTCAAGGTGCTCCAAACGTGGAGTATGGGATTGTGACAACAACCCAAGGGCATTGGAAAAATCTAGTTGTCTCTTGACCTTTCTTCTTACTTGCTTTACTTTCATTTGCTTGCAAGTTTCTTGTGTGAGAACTAAGATTCATGTTAGTGTGTTTAGCCTAGGTTTCATACTTGCCTCACTAAGTATCTAACTCTTAATGTGAATCTTTGCTAAGGACATGTTGTTTAATGTGTTAGCCCTATGGATGCATTAGGCTGTTTTTTAGAAAAACTTAGGAGCCAAGGTGCAATAGGGGTCTAGAGTTTGCGTAGGCTAAGATTGCTGCTTCAATTTTTAGAGACTAGTTCATCCTCTCTTTTTGGTCATTCGGTCCATAAAGTGAGGTACAAAAGTAGTTAGTTTTGGGAATGCCACAAGCTTGAGAATGCGTCTATGCATTTTGTCGCGTCCTTCAATAACCTTTTATTTCAAACATTGAGTTATGAGTTGGCTTTGTTCTGTAAATTTAGTCTAGTCCTTGTGGTGTGTTGGATTTAAGGCCAGTCCAATGCAGATTTCATGGGGTTTCATGCACATTAAATAGGGTGCCACATCAGTAGAAACAGAGCTTTTGCATGTATCGAGGAGGAGAGAGAAGGGAAATGTTTCATGGGGACGAAATGAGTGAGCGTTGTTTCCAAAACGTTGGAAACCGGATGAAACCCCACTAAGAGCCTTCGTTTGTTTCATCCCGTGCGCGACTTCTTCTTCTTCCTTCAAGCGCGGGTGAGGCCGCCACCGCCGGGCGTGGACGAGACCGCCGCTGCTGGAGGGGATGTCGGCACGGGAGGCCGCTGCCAGGCGCGGCTTCACCGGCCGCAGGCGCGAGCTCCGCCGGCCGCGGGCGTGATGACCCGTCCCTGCTGCCCTGTCTCTGCGTGCTCCCGTCCTTGCTTCCCTGTCATTGAACGACCGGCCGCCGCCTCAGTTGATGAGGTCGGAGACCCACCCGACGTCGGGGCCACCGATTCCGGTAGTGGCGTCGCCGGAAACAGCGCCCTCCCTGCTGAGCCGTGGGCGATCCGTAGGCGACCGCGGATGCGGGTAGGCGCCCCACCCTCCCGCCGGGGACGAGTTGGCCTTGCTGAGGCGGAGCTGGCGGAGAGTGGCAAGCACGTCGTTGACGGGGGACCCGATGCCAGGCCAGGACCCGCGGCGGAAGGTGGCGGCCCCGTCCGGCGACAATGGCGGGGACTCCGATGGGGCGACTTGGGTGGCGACGAGGACACGATACTCCGCCGGGTGTGGCTCCGCCGGCCGTGGGGAGACGTCCTCGTCGTGCCGGGATCCAGGTTCCGGGAGGTATACTACTGGGACTCCTTGCCCGCGGCGGGGAAGAGAGGAAAAGAGAGAGAGACACCGGTGGGACCCACGAAAGGCTAAAATAACCTCATAAAACTGTGCAATGAAACTATGCACTGAGAGAGACCCGTTTCATGTTAAGTTTCACATCTTAGAAACTGGGAAGTGAAACCTTCCACTGAGACTGTCCTAATAGGTTGGTCTGATTCCTCTTCCTAGAGGATGAAGCCTAAAGTTCTTTCTAGAAAAGCTTCAGTTCCATCCCAAACTCACACCTGGATAACATATATTAGTATTACATTTCCATGTAATTCATTTTGATCACATAAACTGCATGAGTCTCACAAATCATGTGTCTCTCTTTGAGGTGAAGTCGTATGTAGCACTTGGTTATTACATATATAATGGCCTTAGTTAGTTATTACATTGAGGTTTCACTAGATGGCTAATGGAGGTACGGTATGGATGAGCAGCCATGTCCTCCAGAACCGGTGACTTGCTAGCTAGGTTCTTTTCCCGGATATATCATGGCCGACACATCACGATTCACACATCACACATGCCGCTACTAGGAAGCATCATAGCTCAACTCGAGCGATGGATAACTGATTATTCTGATACGGCGGTCATTAAGTATTCTTCAACTGCAGCAGTAGCAGTGATTTGTACGCACAAGCCTTGGTGTTTTACAGGACAAACGGCTTGCGGTATATGTCAAACATCTCCGAGGAGGACAGGTTAGGCTCCTGCAAAATCAAATCAACCATGCACACAAGAGAGTTTGGTCAGGTCAGGGGCACAGCCGAGGCTGTTGTTGCCAGACGACACAGACAGGGAGGAGGAAGCTGCCAGGATATCGATCAGAGCCTCATGCTGTCATCACGCACCTCCACGCCGCTGAAGTTGGCCACCGTGTGGATGGGTGCGCCGATGGGCCCCTGCAGATCGTATCCCCCGCCGCGGTTCTTCATAATGGCTCTCATGGAGGTGAGCAGGCGGCCGTAGGTGACCCCGCGCGGCTCGCACTCCAGCGCCCGGATGAAGCTGTGCGTCATGGCCCCCACCGATGCGTAGGCATCCGGCATCTGCACGTCGTCGTCGTCCAAGCAGCATGCATATACGTAAGGCAGAGATCGATGGCCAAAAAATTCAGACTAGTAGATGCATATATGATGATGATCCGGTCCGGTCCGATCCCTGACTGACCATGGCGATGTTGCTTTTGCCCTCGCTGTAGCCGCTGATGAGCACGGCGTGGCCGCCGCTGGTGCCCTTCCAGGCGCCCGACGGGGGGCTCTCGTCCTCCCACTGCCAGAACCCGTTCCGGGACATGTGGCACAGGTAGTGGAGGTCCAGCACCGTGGCGCTGTAGCAGGCGTCCACCACGGCGTGCAGCCTGACGCCGTGCACCAGCGGGCGCACGATGGCCTCGTTGATCTCGTCGTCCAGGATGGGGCCCCGCTGGAACGCGTCCAGCGGGCAGATGGCCTCGTCGTACCCGTCCGCCTCGTCGCCGTCGTCGTCGGCGACCTGCGCGCCGAGGCCCGAGAAGTGGAACACCAGGGAGTCGCCGTAGCTGCACCCCTGCACCAGCCAGTGCATCGCCATCCGGATGTTCTCCTTGGTCGGCAGCCTGAACGGGTCCCTCTGGTCATCTGCATATGCAGATGCAGCAATACCATCATGAGGTCGATTACTCACTGCTCATCAGTTCGTCGTTCCAACTAATTAATCCATGCATGGAGACGACATGTTACATGACATACCGGTGAGCATGATGATGCACTCGCTGGGGAAGCCGAAGCGCTGGCAGAGGAGGTTCCTCATGCACTTGACGTCGTTGACGGGGCCCCTGAGCTCGCCGCAGCCCCGGCGCATGCCGGCGTACGTGATGCCGATCAGGACGGCGCGCTTCTTGCCTCGGGCGCGCTGGAACGCCGCGGGAACGTGCGCCGGCCGCGCCACCGGGATGCGGTCGGCGCGCCGGATGCGCGTCACGCAGTTGCATTGCGCGCACTGGATGGCGCGCTCGCCGGGGATCACGGTCAGGCACGCGCTGCAGTACTTGCACCGGATCGTCGCGTTGCCATTTCCACTGAAGCTCATGGCTGGCTGGCTACTAAGCCCGGAGCGAGCTGGGGCAGCTGCCTTGCGTTTGCTTAGTAGGTTGCTTCTTGGCTGGCTGTGCTGCTACTACGATCACCTCGTCCCGGCCCCTTTATATAGGGAAATGATCGTTAGATTACTGTTACCAGATACCAATGCCAGGGATTTCATTTGCGACCGTGAAAGGGGAAGGAGAACATTTTAGTGGATATGAGCATATATTGTCCTGTGAGAGCATTTTCTATTTATTTTCTACGCTGCATATATATCGCAAAAACCGACAAAATGTGAATAAACGCTCTGCACTGCTCTTGTTGCATTGACATTTATCTTTATTTTCTTTTGGTTACGCGCACACTCTTGGGCAGATTTAATTTGGTGCAAACGTTATTATATATATGTCTCCCGGCCCTAAGGTAATCAAATGACATAGCCTGTGATGCCGAGTTGAAACGGGTACGAGATTCTCCCACCTTTTTTTTAGATCTTTTGAGGAAATGGTTGCATGGATCTGATAAACTCTACAGAAATTCACTGCAAATCCTTTAGCAACTTATATTCTTTCGATCGATCCTGGCCCCTTCTGCTTCAGCTTTATTGGCATGAGCTCCTCAATTGTCCAACTAAATGGATTGTTAGATATTTAGATAAATCTAGGCACAATTTAATTAAAAATAAATAATAAAAGATTTGTCATATGTGTGCTTGTGTGGTCTACTCAGTAGTAAATATGATGAGCATTATACTGAACATATGTATCATACTGAATATAACAAATTCAATAAAGACAGAGGTATATTCAGGGACGAAGCTAGTGCGGGAGGCAATAGTGGTGCCTTTCTCTATAGTCAACGTAGCGTGTTGCTCGAAGTCGTGGACCTTAGTCGATGCATGTAGTGGTTCGCTGTACAATACTCCATCCGATTCTCTAAAGCAAGGACCATTTTAAAGACTACAAATAATTTCTTTTGGGTTGAGTTTGATGCATGAAAGTGATGTGGTTCGAAATGTAGTTTCATGTGACTATATTTTATAAATATTTTATAGCAAAAAATAACGTGCATAGCCAACCCCAAAGTCTTCGTGGTTCATGCTAGAAAATGACGAAGAAGTACTGGTTGCCAGGAAAAAGACGAACAAGAGCAGTCGCCCAATAATCTCGCGCTCCTCAAAAACCTTGTGTAAGTTTGTTTCTTAGGCCTGCTCTTCCAAACTCCTATACGCGCATAACTGGGAACTCTCAGACAACAGAAATAGGGAAAGGGTGGAGGTGCGGTGGTACTGTGTTGCCCGCACGCGCGAGGCTCAGATGTTTGTGCCCTTTTATGTGCCAACGATGAAGACGGAGAGATGGAGGAATGCACATGGACGCTGCCACGTTAACGGGATGGAGTTATCATAGAGTAACGGACAGTAACTCCCAAGGTGATTTCTCTCTTGTTAACTGCCATTAGATGACTAATAGTCTAAGTGGCAAAACCCAGCGCCCACGCTAGGGAAGAAGACACTACCGGGACGGAGTAATTACAGAGTAAACGATAGTAACTCCTGCAATAATTTCCTATCAAAAAAAAAAACTATTGCAATTTATTTCTCTCCTAGTGGCAAAATCCACCCCACCCCACACCACATCGTATCATGGCCCGAGCTAGTGCAGATGACGCTCATGCCTCGGCTCGAGCCACGCCACGCCTTTTGCCTCTTTTAACTTCATAATAGGTGCACACGCAAGCTCCCTATTTGAGCTGTGACAATATTGAATCAAAATCTCATACATGACCTTAGGATTTATTTGGTTTATAGTTGAATTAAGAATGGACCAAGCCCAATTATTAAATCCAATAATGGTCACCAAAATTCTAGGGCACATATGAAATGCTCTCAGTTCTCTGTTGTTTGATGTACTAGAGTTTCTCTATTTTCTAATAGATTTCAACCACCACTTTTTTGTATGCCTAGATGAATTTCAAAATGTGAGAAATTTAAACATAATTTCCTTGGATAAATAATTTTAAAAGGAAAACTTTGGTTGTTTTCCTCCCTCCAAGGTTATTTGAAAACTTTGAATTTCCAAATGTAATGATTCAAACTGAATTTTGAGATCATAAATTCTATTTTATTGAAAAAGTTATCGACCGCAATGTTTTAGATCTTTTCGAGATCTGTAACTTTGGTTTTGGTCATTTCTCCGCCCAAAGCCACTTAAAAATTTTAAATTTTAAAATGTGAGAACTTCAGATAGAATGTGTAGAATCTAAATAATTTCAAATGAAAAAAAGTTGGCAACTAGAAAGGTGCAGATCTCTTCAAGATATACACAACTTTGATATGAACTTTGCCTCCCTGACTTCGTTTGAAGATTTTATGAATTTGACTATGCTACACTAGTTTTTAGAGACGGGTCCAAATTCAGTCACTTATACAAATCGGTTTTTAGAGGAGCCTCTTGATCCAATCCCCCCCAAATATCAGTAGTCTCTAAAAATGGATTTCTAGAGACGGGTCATTGTAGAAACAATTTTTACACGCATATGTCTTCATGGTTTCTGAAATGGACTCGTGTAACTGGTCTTTGGGCCTCTCCAATATGGTTTACATGTATGTCTTCATGGTTTTACGCGATTGCATTCATTAATTTTGTGGATGTCTTCATGGTTAATTTACGCATGCTACTTGATGGTTTACACTTTACATACACTCTCATTGCTGGCTGATCAAGATTAGCTCTGGAGTGTCCTTATCACTTGTATAATAATTAAATCTGATTGCATCGATCTTTTTGCTGTAGCCATTCACTCACCGGAGGAAGATTCGACGTCGATGGGGGAAAGAAAAAAAAACCACCGTACCCGGAGGACAAATTCGTGACGGCGCTGGGGGACCTGCGAGTTCTTCTCGTCAGGCCGTCCGTGCCTGTCACAATTCACAAAAACTGAAACACGCTCCCATTTCCGGCAAAAACCAATTTTTCTTAACCTCGTCGCCTCAAAACAATGTGTTGTCCGTAGACCTAGCTAGCTTTTCATTTTAGCGGGCATGTATATGACTATATATGATCGAATACGTGCGCAAGGCTGCTGGCCCGGCCGTGTGGAATACATACGTACAATGCGCATGAGAACGAACCGGTCATTCATATATACATAGATAGATTCATATATTCCTCATCTAGATAAGAGACGTGCGTGCGTTGCCGAGGCACCAGGCGTTGAGGAAAGCAAAACGAAAGAGACTGGGATGGAAAGATAGAAGGTTACTTTGAGGCCAGGTCCGACGTGGTGTGTCTGATTCCCGTTCCAGCTTTGTTGACGGTATCGCCATTCCATCTGGGTATCTAGCTACACATGGCGGCGGCCGGCCACCTGCGACTACGCCTAAGTATGCATGGCTGCTCCTGAAGCATCGGCATCTATCTATCTCCAACCGCCCTAGCCATCCAAGTTGTCCGACGAACCGAATGTCCGGCCGGCCAAATAATTGCGATGCAGGTGCAGCTTCCTCCCTCTAATGTGGGGTACGGTGGCCAGAGCCAGAAGAAGGAAAAAGAAAAATCGCCTGCATGCGTACCGCGCTGTACTGTACATGTCGCTCATCATCGGCTACTCGACGTCGTCATCTGTGATGACGGGGTGCAGGCGTGCAGCGGACGCACCCGCCCGGCATCTCCGCTCCGGCATGGCCACATGGGATAGCGCCGGGGCAACGCGGAGTTTTCATTCCGGACGACAGTGGTCGATCCAGAGACGGCTGCATCCGGAATTTCCATTTGCATGTACAACCCGTTTTTAAAATTTACAATACAGACGGCTGAATAGATAGCTCGTGTGTCTATTTGGCTGTCTATAGATCATTTAATGCTTACGTGCAGCTATGATCAATTATGAATATCACTACCGGATTCAGGTTCTTTGCCAAGTGTCTGGTCATATTGCACTCGGTAAAGAACACACGGCAAAAAATTAATCGGCAAAGCCCTCTTTGCCGAGTGTCTTTTATCGGGCACTCGGTAAAGGCTTTGCCGAGAGCCCAGGGGCACTCGGCAAAGAAAAGCGACCGTCACGGCGCCGGCCCTGTTGACGGTCGCTTTGCCGAGTGCTAACCCTGCAGGCACTCGGCAAAGATTTTTTATTTTTTTTAAAAAAAAATTCTTTGTCGAGTGCCCTCTATCCGGCTCTTGGCAAAGATGTTTTATTTTTTTTCTAAAAATTCTTTGCCGAGTGCCCCCTGGCCGGCGCTCGGCAAAGTTTGAATTTTTTAATTTTTTTTTGCCGAGTGTCCTTTGGCCGGCACTCGGCAAAGTTTGAATTTTTTAAAAAAAGAAATCTTTGCCGAGTACCATGGTCACAGCACTCGGCAAAGCTGGAAAAATGGGCGGTTTTTCGAGCGCCCATTTTTCCAGCTTTGTCGAGTGCTGTGACCATGGCACTCGGCAACGGGGTCATTTGCCGGGGTCCTTTGCCGAATGCAACACTCGGCAAAATGACCCAAAACGGTAATTTTTATTTTTATTTTACATTCCATCATGACAAATAAATTCATACAAACATATATCACATATATATCTCATCCATCATATATATATCTCATCCATCCACACATCCATCCGCATATATCACATCCATCACAATATATATCACATATATAATAATAAGTGCTCAAGTCCATCCAAATAAATTCACAAGTACATCAAAGTCCACAAGTGCATCATAAGTATATCACAAGTCCATCACCAAGTGAACAACAAATAAAAAAAATACAACGTGCACTCATCTCGACCACTACGACTGTGGTGAAGGCCTAGCTCCATCATTCGAAGGTGCATGAGGTAGATTATTCGAACCACCGTCAGATAGAGACTACACAAAGGAGAAAAGATTGCATATGAGACAAGATTATTTGGATAGCTAATCTAGGAAGGTAGAGGTCATACAAGCAAAGCACAAGCGTAAGTAAAAAAACTTTCATACTCACAGGAGTAGCTGCAGCTGTAGGACGCGGAG